TTAACGTGCTTTTAGAGATGAAACTTTCCTCGTCTAGATTTCTAGGGGTTGAACTTCTACCGGGAGGTTCACTTATTGGCTTGGAATATGCTGATGATATAGCTTTATTTGTTAAAGACGCTGACAAATTGCAGTCTTCTGACCACTCTAAGCATGTTCGGGATGCGATACTCCCCCTCGAAATGTAAAATGTTGCTTCAGGATTGGGTTGCATTGACACCCGAACTAATGATAGGGAGTGAAGTAGTTGAGCGTGTCGATCGCCTCACTTATCTTGGGAGTCTCATCAGCCCTTGTGGTCTGGTGTGTGACGAAATCTCAGCACGGATACAGAAGGCTCGACTAGCTTTTACCAACTTGCGTCATTTATGGCGTAGGCGTGATATCCGTCTATCAACCAAAGGGAGGGTTTACTGCGCAGCAGTTCGTTCCGTCCTACTTTATGGTGGTGAAACGTGGCCGGTAAGAGTAGAGGATATCCGTAGGTTACTAGTATTCGATCATAGGTGTCTTCGAAACATTGCTCGTATATCCTGGGACCATCGGGTAAGTAACGCAGTTGTTAGGAAACGGGTACTAGGTAGGGATGGCAAATCGATTGAAGTGGTGAAACGTCATCAGTTGAGATGGCTGAGATACGTGTTACTTATGCCCAACCACCGACTGCCTCGATGTGTGGTGTTTTGTTGTAAAGGAGTAGATTGGAAGAAAGCTAGGGTTGGCCAGACCAAAACATGGCACAAGTTCACGAAGTTACTGACAAGTAGACTGAGCCATGTTCGTAGGTGTAGACTACCTGGTTGGGGTCTGAGAGACGATAGCAACCGATGGTTAGAGACCCTGAATGACATGGCTCAAAATCGTTTGCAACGGTGCAGGCGCATCCACTCTTTGTGTTCTCCCAAATTCTAATCTTCTGAATTTGTCATGTCCCTTTTCTTTTCCTCTTTCCAAATTTATTTCATTGGATTATACTCCTTGAATAACATCTTCAAACCCTAATTTTTCTGATTACAGCTTATAATTTTACTACATCTAGCACTACGGGATTTGAATCGACAATTATATCTCTGTGCTAATGTGGTATGGCAACTCGAACTGATGTACGTACGTACGAAGTTCTACGTTGTTACTGACTGACTGACTGACTTACCTCTTTATTATCTCCCAGTATGTTTATTAACAATGTTTTCATTCGAATGTTGCATTAATCTTTTACAATCTAATCAGATCGTAACAAATTTCACTTCATTATTTGACACAACTTAATAGTATATGATTTAAACCTGGCTAAATTACTCTATCTCTACAGCAATAAGTTCAAAGTAGGTCGTAATTGTTTTCAAAGCTCTGAAATATTAGGTCTTTCTATCAGTTTATTGACAAAATAAGAGAAGAGTTATTATTTATTCGACTTTTTACATCACATGAGGGTGATCGGTTGTTTGCTCTTCTATTTATTTAAAACCAGGTGATATTCTTCAGATGTTAGCTTTCCTCTTTACACATAAGTGAATCATTAATTGCGTCTAAGAACTACTTTCTCATATTCCTTGTGGTCAGTATTGTCAATGCAAAGTTGAGTAATCCCTACTCGCATAGAATAAAATTTAGTTGCGTAACTTTTGTACAGACACTTACCTAAACACTTATCACACATAAAAGTACAAAATCGATTGTTTGTTTTTACAAGGCAAAATACTAGATAAAATCAGAAACCACTCCGCTTGTTGATAAGTTTAATGACGATATTCAAAATGTTCACTTCTGTATCTTTATGTCGAAATAAATATAAGGGTCATGAAATAACAAGTTATTAAATTTAATTTTTCTCTGTCTACAACTTTACATGAGCTTCCTAGTTTAGATTGTACATAATGTTTTAGCCTTCGTTTCAAAGAAAATAAGACCGTTACTAGAATTTTGACATCCTTTATTTAATAAACAAAGACGACTGTATTGCTTCAGTAGATGATAACCTGAAAAAGAATAGTTTTCTCATGGTAGTTTAAACGGTTTTTGATCAATGATTTAATGATTTCCGTATTTTTTTTGAAAATATGATGTGCATTTGGATTTTAATTCAGTAATGACAACGATAGGCTAACGATAACTATTTTTCACATTAATTCTATATAACATTAAAGGACGTGTGTCATTTTAATTTTTCGGCTTTAATAAGACGTGAAGAAATTTTTTCCACTTTTATTGGATATGGAATCTACAATATATTTGAAGTTTTCTAGATAAACTACTCTAGTATACAGATAAACCTCTTAAAAATTAGGCTGGTTGCATCTCAAGCAATCAAAATTTTGTTCACTATTGTAGTGGAAAGAGAAAATACATTGTTTAGGATTTCAACAAGCACTATAATACCAGTACTACTTGAACACAAGTGTTACAGGGTATCTCTTCCTGAAGAGATACATGATAATAGCATACCTACTTGGTTTACCTCTGCTGTTTAAACTGTTATCCATGATGGTGATTGACATTTTTTCATCTTGTCCTTACAGTAATCACTATAAATTTGAATATTAAACCATTAAATTTATGACAGAATCAGTAACGTTCAACTATATCATTCAAGTGTCAGATATTTGTAATACGCTTTGTGAGTAGTATGTAAGAAACAGCAAATCACTTCTTAAAACCAGTCACATAATAAGTGAAGCTAATGTTTTATATACATAAACATATTGTTTGATGGAAATATGCGATTTCAAAATTGCCTTGTATGTTTTGTAAAGACTGGATGAAAAATGTTGTGTTAGATTTCGACTCAGTGGATAACTATATCGTACAACTCACATGATCCTTGAATCTTGAGTTTGTTATTGTGTGGATTGTCAAGACGCACACTTGAAGTGTTAAGCTAAGACTAGGAATGCTTGTTTTCTATTGTCTTCACTGATACCGTCAGTTTTTTCACGAAAGTTATCTTTGCATGTTTAAAATATTAATTTGCGGGGGAAGTTTATATATTTTATTTATACTTGGCTTGTTTATTGATCATAATATTACTTACTTAAACATAGCTAAGAAAATTCCTCGGTGTAAATAACAAAGTTAGACTCGTATCTAATAATACTAGCTGTTTTTTGGCAAGTAAGGAAATCGAATAAATGTGCGATAAGCATCTAAACATAAATATCCACTTTTATCGGTCTAACTATTATCATTTACTTAGTAATCTATGTATCAAATACCTCATTTTAGCATCAATTTGTATTAGGGTAGAGTATGTACATATTATCAACAGTGTGGGTTTGCATTATCATACTCGTGATATTTTTTGTATTAATTATAACCGGTCTTTGTCAGCATACGTGCATCCTCGAATCCCTGTGTGAATACTAATATGTCGAGACAGTATGCGCAGAATGCAAAATGTGTCGACGGAGACCGATCTGAATTTGGTCGAAAACAACAGGATAATCCAAACCCTTTCTAATAGTGATATATGCCAGAAAGACAACTTGGTAGCTATCTGTAATCAGTATCTCAGTGAATAGCACATTGTGCGTTCGAAGTGAAAAGTACCAGGTTTGAGTCCCGGTGTGGACATCAACACGTGTGAGCACATTCAGCTTGTAGTAAGGTGAAGTTAAGTAATAGTTCAATGATTAGCATTCATTATTTATGCTGGATCAATATCAATATCATTTTATAATTGTGGATATTCCACACACTAATTTAATTCATTCATTTTAGCTTAGTTACTAATTGAGAAACTTATCATTATATGAGAATGAATTAGTAAAGTTTTAATTTGATACATTTTACAAAATTATTTTTAAGTCATCCATTTTTTTCTTATAGTTTACGATGTTATGTTTTAAAGTATAATCTGCTATTCTAGATTTAGTAAAATATATTACGCTGAATAATAGATCCAAAGCTTAATTTCTTTGATGTTTATACTTTTTATTCTTAGATCTATGGAAATCTTGGAAAATATGCAAACAGATACTCTTTCATTTTACCTCAGTTAAATATTCAATTCTTGTTAAAATGAATTTTTATACTGATCTATTCATAGTATCATTATCAGTATGAATCAATAATTTTGAAATACATAACATCTTTTTGCTATAGAGATTCTACCTTGAATATAGATATGACCATATAGAGTTTATTGTTAATTCGAATGCCTAGTTTTCATTTGACTGGGTGGTTACCCAACGTTTTTCCTTTTTTCATGATTACTATAAAGTTTTTCAACATGACAAATGATTTTGGTGACTGTTAAAATGAAGAAACTTGATAGTTTATATTCCATCTTATTACTTGCTCTTGATATACTTAACTTGTTAATGTTATTTGATGTCTTTTCCTTACTGATAAATTGTAAGTTCAATGATCTTTTAAGTGAAACTTTATATTCATTAAGTGCTTAGGTTTATCGACTAATATATGTACAACTCGTTGGACGAGGAATTATTTTTGCAACATCTTAACAAGAAGTACAAATATGGATTCAAAATATTAGTATCTTTGAAAATGATATAGAATGTTTCTCATTAAAAGACAGTTATACATCATATTAAGATATAGCTTATTGATGATGTTAATCAGATATATTCTATTACCGTTGTCACCATCCAGGACTGTCAAATATCCCATAAGATTTAACAGGTGATTATTTTTACTGGTTGTAATGAACTATTTAAATGATCAAACCAAAACGTTAACAAACAAACTAAACCATTTTAATGATTACTATAAACAATCTAAAGCGCTTTTTTCACTTTGTCTAGTAAGTAAATTCTTATGTTTGAAAATGAATTACATTTCATTACCTATAAAGAAAAATTAATTGAATTGCTTCGAAGTCTTGAAATTATGTGACTTGAAATTAATTGAGGAAACTGATAATTTTCGAACTTAATTATAAGAAGGATTTTAGATTATTTTTGATAATCAACTTAACATTAAAACATGTACATATATATATATATATATATCATAACTGTTCTAACTTTTTTAATTTGTAGAGTTTACCAAATGATCATCAAAATGTACAATATTTAGAAGATGGTACAATTGAAGTCACTGATACATTATCAAAAGAAGAATATTACAAAAGTTTACGCCGTCGTTGTACTACAGGCAATAGTCAAAATACAAGACAATATGGATTATCTAGTCAATTGAGCCTAGAAACTTCTCAATGTGGTACATTACGTTCTGGATTTGGTAAACGTAAAGGTACATTGCATGATTTTAAACCGTCTGGAAAAGAAGAACTATGTTATATTCTCATGTTAGAAGGAGTAGAAAAAACATATACCATAGATGTAAGTTAGTTTATCCAAAAATTTATTCTACATTTTTTAAAATAATAGTTGTATTGTTTCAAGTTCATTTAGTTCTTGCACATTTATATAGATCTATAAAATATTATTACGGTTGGTTCTACATTTTGCTAAACACCGTAATTGATTACTACAAGTTTATCAAAAGATTCAGTCATGAATTGTTGGTTTTTTGAAAGTATTTCTCTACCATTGAAGTAACTTGGAAATTTACTCGTTTGTTTAACAGCATTTTACACCTTTTTACTTACTTACTTACAAACGCTTGTTACTCCCAGTGAAACATAGGCCACGGACCAGCATTCTCCAACCCACTACGTCCTAGGCGTTCTCTTTTAGTTCCATCCAACTATTGTTCATTTTCCTCATGCTTATCTCCATTTCCCGGCGTAATGTGTTCTTTGGTCTTCCACTCCTCCTTTGGCCTTCAAAATTTCATGTGAGGGCTTGCCTTGTGACACAGTTCGGTGCTTTCCTCAATGTGTGTCCTATCCACTTCCAGTGCATCCTCCTGATTTCTTCCTCTGCTGAGATCTGATTTGTTCTCTCCCACAGTCGGTTGTTACTAATAATGTCTGGCCAATGGATGCGAAGTATTTTACGTAGGCAACAGTTAACAAACACTTGTATCTTGTGGATGATGGTTGTGGTAGTTCTCGAGGTTTCCGTTCGATACAGTAGAACTGTTTTGACATTTGTATTGAAAACCCTGACAGTTGTTTTGAGTTCCATATGTTCTTCAGTTGTAGATATGCTGTTCTTGGTTTTCCGATCAGCACCTTCACATCTGTATGAGATCCACCGTGTTCATCAATGACGCTGACCACATATGTAAAGGTTTTTATACCTTTCAAATCTTCTCCGTCAAGTGTGATTTGATTGTTCCACGTCGTGTTGTGTCTGGGGCTACTGCCGGTCCCAAGCCTGGATAAAGGAGGAGGGTTGGGCATGGGGTTAGCGACTCCATTTCGTAGAAAACTAACTCGCTAAAAAAACGCTGACCGGAAAAAACAATTCAAAACCATTTACATGTTTTTAATAGGTTATAAAAGGTTAATTTTATGACAGGGATATAGATAAATATATTAAATAATTCAAATCACTTGTATTCTGCCCCTATAAGTCATTTTGAAATCGTATGTTGCATATGGATATTTTTATAGGATTAACTGTCTCAAATTAGATTTCTGTATTCAATTTTGAGATTTTCTTTATTCATATTTCACATTTTGATGAAATTCAACATAAGTATCAAATGATTGACGGTTAAATATAAGCAAATTATTATATCTAGTGAAACCTAAGATTTACCTACTTACTTCTGTTACTCCTCGTGGAGCATAGGCCACTCATGAAATCTAAAAGTTCATTAAATATTCTAAAAATGACTAGTAGAAGTGTTCAGTGTTTACAAGTTTTATAACTGCTTAATCAAATATTTTTTTCACTATATAGTAAAACTGAGGAGGTTGAAAAATTTAAACGCCTTTGAAATATACTTTAGTTGTAGAGTTTAAATTTTGGTTATCACGCATTTGTTTAGGTACGATCTTACACTGATCTTCATAATAAGATTTAAATCATAGTTCAATCTTCAGTAATAAATTAACATATACCAAATCAAGATATACATAATAATAATGATGATAATAGTTGCTTTCTATTCACCACTGTTTAGTTATTGTAATGAATTCCCAAAATAAATATACTTTATTACCATAAATTCTACTTTACTATACATCTTTTTTGCAATAATTCAAAAATGCAACCTAAAACCATTTATCTGTTATTCATCTTCAACCGTAAAGGTTTCGACATTTATGCGCCATATTAAATGTTTAATAGACATGATACTCAATATATTTTTTAAAATTGTTTTCTGAAAGAATAAACATGAGGGGAGAGACGCCAATTACTATATCCCTGGTTACATCTTAAACCATTTTTAACGTTATTATAAGTTTAGTTTTTTTTTACATAAGTGTATGAATATATTATACAGTTCATATACATAATTTATTCGTAAAAAACAGTCCAGAATAGGAAAATTTATTGTATTAACATTACAATCATAAAGCAAATGATCAAAGTTCAAGTAGACGACTTGACAAAAATTGAAAACGAATTTCAATACCGTTGATGACATCAAATTTGTACTTTTATGACGGTAAATGACTGTTCATTGATGAACTGATTCGAAATTATATATAACACTATTCTTATTTCACATCAATTATCTGCACAGATTTACCAATCGACCTATTGCTAACTACTAGTTACATAACAGTTATTATAAAACCAATCTGTGTATACAAATCAGTTTTATTTGGTATGATTTATTTAAAACAGTTTAACATATTTCAAGAGATTAAGGGAACATTGAATCATCTTCATTTTCCATAATATGCTACTCCTCATTGGCACTCACTGTGAAACTACGTGATACAGAATGAAATTTAAAAAATTGCACTAATAAATAAGAATGGATTTGCCATGTACATAGACAGTTCATTTAATGATGAACATGAGCACTGTCTTTAATCACGTACTATCATCATGAATATCATTGTTTTAATCGAAATAGGTATCTATCATGTCGTTATGTCTAAATTTTCTAAAAATCTTAGTTTGCAACTTCCTATTAGTCTAAATATTCATTCAAATTCTGTTCTTAACTTCTTATAAAATATTAAGTTAACTAGTCATATTATAAATGTACCTACAACCTTTAATTTGTCTTGACTACATTAATATCAGTCAAACAGTCATGTTAATTCTAATTCTCTCCTTCTGATGATCAATTTATATAATTTTAAAAAGAACTATTTCTCTTTTACAATTGTCGTGTGTGTGTGTGTAATTTTTTGGAATCAGAAATGATTGAATCCTTAAATAATAATAACTTACATATAACAAATAAATTTCAAAAATATTTTGACTTTTCCATTTCATAATATTTATGCTTATTACATATGTTTTATGATGGTAAAGAAGATTTGTAGCTTAGGTGAATGATCCATCACTACATAAGTTTTATTGTTTTTATAACTATCTTAACATTATTATTATATAATTATTTATATGACTTCTTTATAATTCATTACAGTTGCAAGAAAATTAACTATTTTTTTTATCAGAAGGGGTTTTGTGGAGATTTTAGAAATTTCACGGATTGAAATCACGAGTCAATTGAAGCTAGATCACCATTGAAAACGTGAAGGCACTGGACGGCCGTTCCGTTCCAGTATGGGACTCCTCAGCAGTGCGCATCCACGATTCCGCACCCCACGAGATTCGAATTCTTATTGTTACATTTTATTCGTTTATAGAAATTCCACTTCACAGTAGATAAATTTATTACTTTGATAAAGAAGTAAAATATTTTTAATACTTGAGGTCATGAGTCAGTTGAAGCTAGACCACCATGGGAGACCTGGAAGCACTGAATTAAAAGTTAACGGTTCGCGCGCGAGACTGATAAGTCCTTAGTTCGAATCTCGAGAGGTGAGGTTGTGAATGCGCACTGCTGAGGAGTTCCACAATAGGACGAAACGGCCGTCCACATCATCCAGGTCTTCCATGGTGGTCTAGCTTTAATTGATTCATGATCTATACTATTGCAATTACTATAATATCCACAAAAACACCTTCTGATACAATTAAAATATCGATCTTAGAAATTTGTTTAGATGAAATCAATAATTGTTATAGTACGGGTTTTTGATATTTTACTTAGATAATTATGATCATTTTTGTATTCAATAGTAGTTTAATCGACAGTTTTAGTTATTTTTTCTTTGAAAAAGAAATACAGCATTTTAACTAGAAAACTTTTGTGATCGAATTGAAGGAAATTTCATTTGTGCAAACACTGAGATAACATTATTGTAATAAATATATGTGGTTGAATGATTTGGGATTTATTAATCAATAGGCTATTGTGTATATAGTATTATTATATATGATAGGTTTCAACTTCTGTCCAACTTACTTTAATTCACTACGAAATGGATTGGTTTATTCTGTCGTTGATATTTTGACTGAAATTTGGTTAGCCTTAGTTGGCATATGTATATCCTATGCGTCTGGTCTCGGTATAGGCCATTACGACAATTTAATATTTGAACAGATAGAATGTGGCTAGCAGTGGAATCCAGGACGCGGATTTTGACATATTTAGGACTTATCATCTGAATGTACCTGCATTATAACGGCTTTATCGAAGAAATCCGTACAGGATGGGCATATACTAACCAAGACTAATCAAAGTTCAGTCAAAATATCAACATCAGGATAATCCAAACCATTTGAAATTGAATTCAAACTTATACCTGTTGCACAATTGAATAACCATATAGATTCAGTAGTTAAGCAGATAACAGTGGCTTTTGAAGAGAGCAATAGTGGGTCTGGTTTTAAGAGTGAACATCAGATTCGGGATGCAGGCGCACGTAATGAATTATTTACAGTCAATCTAAAAGATCATTTGGAGAAGAATACATGTTTGTTTTGAGTAAACATATTCACTCGTTGGTAACTTGATAAGTTGAAATCTAGTACATGAGACAGGAACCAGATATTTACTTTCTTTGAAACTTGTTTACTAAAGATATATTCCAAATGTAATTATTAAACTGTTCGAATCCTGAATTTTTGCTCTTTACCTATGATTTCTATTATTTTCTGATGGTGCATAAATTGGATAGAAATCGTTGACTCACTGACTATTATTATTTTTAACAAAACCGTTCAGCAGTACAAAAATAATTCTCTTTGTTATCGTCCGCTACGAATACGCAGTTATTCGTAACAACTGAATGACTGATGAACAAAAATGCGCAGAAATTCTCAGAAACGTAAAACTATTCAAAGTTATGTCTAGTAAAGTTGTTTGTCTAATTTGTGTAAAACTGCGTAATTTTATTCAAAGTTGAGTTGAACTAAGAAAACTGATTATTATTTCGTTATTGACAAATATATCT